GATGGATTCCATAGTTATGTAAATATGATAATTATTCCAAGAATTAGAATGGAGTGTAAATATGACATTAGATTAAAGTTAAAAAGTTCAGCAAAATAGTGATTCCGCTACCATGAAATTGCCCAAATGTAATTTTGTTTGTTTGGAATTAGGCCAGTCAGTTTTAGGCCAACTCTTCAGAAGTGTAAATGGGGCTATATTTACATTAATACCATTTTGTTTAACATCTGGTGGCAATGAAATTACACAAGTTGCTATTAAAGTCTTAGCTCCAGTTTTTTTTACATATTAAATTTATAATATTTATAATTTCTGTTTAGGTTGGACATGATCCTGCAGAACAGTTTACATTCCATTGGTGGGATCATGTCTTCAATAAAGCCGCTAGTAACATCCAAGTAACGAACAATGAGGTAAGAGACACCCTCTATTTTAAAAGAAAAATTGCCACTTTTTGTTAATTATTTTTCCATGTTGGTTGTGAGGAAAATAATGTTGTTCAACTTAACAGAGTGCATTAAAAAAATATTCCTTTAACACTTGTGATAGGCTGAAAAGTCAGTGCATAACATCTGGGACTTGCTATGCCTAAACTGACATCAGTGATCAAAACAAGAAAATTGACTATAAGAAAAGTTAGTGTCTATACAGACAAGCATCTTTTTTAGACAGACAAACTTGGGCCTCATGGTATTCATCAGTTAGTGCTCACTACAAAAACATATTGCAGATCATGCAAAACAAATGTGTTAGATTCATTTTAAATGAAGGCCCTTAAAGTCATGTTGGGCAAAGAGAGCTGGATAGTCTAGGCTTTTTGAATGTAGAGAAGTTACACAAATTAAAATGAATTATGTGCACAGAATAATTAATATTACTGCGCACCCATATGGGCTTTTAATACTTTGTATGTTAACTGTGTGTTGGTTGTATTTCTTTATTACAATATTATCCATATGTATTCTGTCCTGTTTTTAAGATTTTCCCCATGTGGGATGAATAAAGATTGATACAGTATTGATATATTGATATCTTAGCACCGAATTTCACAGAGTTAATGATAGACATAAGCATAACATGAGAAGCAGTGTAAATAATTTTGTTGTTCCCTTTGCTTCCAAAATAATAAATTCCACATTCTATTCCAGTAGTATTAAGGAATGGAATAGATTACCAAAATAAAAGAAACAACCGGCAAATCCTTGTTTTGTAAACTTGTTAAAAGCCATCTCTCTACCAAGAGACATAATTAGATTAGTAATTTAACTAAATTTTTAAAATTATTAACATGTTACTAATTTTAAATCATATTTAGCATTGCATCTTTTTATCTAAACTGATGTAATATACGTCACTTCACAGGACCCCGATGGAAAACTGCTATTGGTTTTCTTGGGCTGTCCTGGCCAATGTATGTTAATATCGTAAACCTCAAATTGAAGCCTGATGGGCTTAATCTCGAGAAAAAGCTCATTTTGAATTGAAGCCCACCTCTTCAGTTTACAAAATTAGCCTCGAAAAGAAGCCCATGAGCTTCTTTTCAAAATAGCGTAGACTACTTTTCCAGATAGTATGGTACATACACTGTACATGAATTTCAAAGAAACAAAATAAATTGGTTTATACAGTAGTTCAGGTGATTTAATGCCCGATTAATACTCTCCATGACACACGTTGATGTTACAGTGTAGACCATTGACTGTTTATCTAGCCCAACCATTGCTACATCATCAGTAACATTATCTTCTAGTTTATAACTGATCACTGGCCCACCGAGCTATAATAAGGTAGGGTTACTAGCCCAGAGGAGTTTTTACTAGACATTGTGCGACAAACTAGTACTAATTCGAGCCCTGTGAATTGTGCAGTGCTGCCAGGTCCTTATGCTAATTTATACTCAGTTTAACATTTAGTGACAGTATGCCAGTTTTGGGATGGCAAGCCTCAATCTGTAATGACTAGAGGCATTGAATGACATAAATGCAAGGGATTAAAACTTCAAATATTTTTTTTAACATGTTATTTTCCTCCGTTTCAAAAGTTGTCTTTTATTGACTTTAAGGATGGAGTTGTGGTACTTAATAAGAAGGAAGGTAGTCACATGATCACTAATGAAAAACCTGTCAAGTCATCCAACAAGAAAAATACACTTTATGGAATGTTTGTGAAGGTAGGTTGGGAAAAATATGATATTTCTATATTTTTGTATCAAGATAACTGACAAATTTAGTGCAAAGTTTTTGGTTGTTTCACATTATTGGATTTTGAAAGACTTTTTTCTGTTTTCAGTACATCCAAAAATTTTTGTTGCAGGTTTTGGGGGTTATGTCCTTTTTCAAGCTATATCTACTCTACTATAACGTTTTAATATGGGATCTACTCACAAAAATAAAAATAAATAATATTAATATAAATATATATGTGCAGTTAAATAAGTGGTGAATCAAATTCTAAAAAGAAAGAATATACAATTTTTCCAGAGTGCAACATTAACACCTGCAGGTGAGCAATCTGTGTCTTCCTCATCTGAGGAAGAAGATGATCTAAAGATTGATTTCTCATCTGGTTTGGCCGATGACGAGTTGTTCAAGGCATGTGGGGGCAGGACTGCGCATAAGTGAGTATCCTGTGCATTATATAAATCCAGACTTTAATAAAAAGAGAAATAAGGATAAAGTTATAAAAACTATAGCATGCCAAATTCTTGCCAAATTCTTGGGAACACAAGATTTTATGTGAAATCAGGTGTTCAACATGACTGAGTGCTTTCCTTCAGGCCATATTGGAGTTAAGTTACTGAGCTTTCACAATGTTTATTTTCTTAAAAAATATGTTTTGATATGTCAAAACATGGTCAAAACAACATCAACAATTTAAAAATGATATGTTGACACAACCAATGTAGTTTTTAAATTTTATACCTTGTACAACATAATCATTTAAAGGCAAGTAAACATTAACATCTGAATTTAGAACCAACTGAGGATGATTTGAACTATTTCTTATTTCATAGAGGGGCACGTCATGGATTGAAATCAAATGGCAAACTGCAACGACTTCAAGAACAAGAGAGATTAGTAAAGACAAAGAAGGATGCCAAAAATGAACCAGTTGATGTCAGAGATGAGGATGTTGCAAGAAAAAAGAAGAAAAAAAAGAAAAAGAAATGTGAAGATGATGGTAATATAGAAGATCCTATTGATAATATGAAGATTGGAAAGAAGAAAATAAAGGAAAAGAAATCAGAAGAAATCGAAAATATAAATTATCCTATTGATGGTGTGTGGACTGAAAAAAAGAAAAGAAAGAAAAAGAAATCACAAGATATTGAAAAGAAAAGAAAACGAAAAACTACAATGACCAATGGTGAATCTATAGAGGGCAGTATATTATCAAATATGTTGGAAGAATGTGAAGACATTACAGATCCTGCTGAAGATTTACCAGACGTTGGTGAGGAAGAAAGTGTTGTGAGGAAACGAAAGAAAAAAACACACAATAGGGAAATTAATATTGAACGTGAAAATGATGAAAATGTATTACAAAAATCAAGAAAGAGAAATAAGGAAAAGCGATTATCCCCATCTAAACAGTCATCAAGTAAAGATGAAGTGAATGGAATTGTATTGCACGAGAATGACATTATTTCAAAAAAAGTTAGGGAAAAAAAGAAAAAGAGGAAAGATATATGTGAATAACTACGTAAATAAATCAATATTTTAAATAAAATGTACAAGTCACTTAAGTACTATTTTACTTCGGTTTTATTTTGTAAATTGTATGTACATGTTGTACATGGTATGTGAAATTTATGCAGTAGATTTAAATGGTGTACCTGGATAAATTTTTGCATTAGAACAATTAAATTTTAATATCAATAATGATCATGTCATAATAAACAGAAACAATCCCATGTATTGTTTGCTCTATTATATTTTGTTTCCCTGGGATCCTATCTAGTTTAATGAGAGGAATGTACCACTACAGAAATATTCATTAAATTAGATTGATTGATTATTATAGTGATTGTGAACATCGCTTCTAAAAAACAAATTGTATTATTAAATATTACTAAAATTGACAAGACATGACAGGGGCAGATCTGGGTTAAAATTTAGGGGTGGGGGTTTCAAATGTTTTGGAAAAACCCCACAAAGGTAAATTTTTCTCATTCTTACAGTAAATAGACTTTTATGTGTGTACCAGTATACATTAAGAAAACAAATTAAGTAGTTGCATACGTATTTTTTTTCCAATGAATCAAAGAATTCCAAAAAAAAAGTGGGGGGTGTCAGGGGTCAAAATTTTGATTCCTAGGTGGCGGGAATTGAGCTTTCCCGATTTCTAACTTTCCCATTGTAACAAAAACAATGTCAGCTCAGAGGTCCTGGAAAGGTAGGTCTAGATATTTTTTCCCCAAGAGGGTGACTGACCCCTCAAATCCGCCAATGCACGAAGAATACAAAGATCGTGATCTGCAGTGTGGCACATCAGGGGAGCTGGTGAGAAACAGAGAACCCTGTAGTTCTGGCAATGCAAGAATTCTAAAGGCTTGGTTTAGAATCGGTAATAAGAATATTTAAACAATCTTTCCTGTAAGTACTGTATAAATCAATTAAAATTACAAATCATATACGTTCTGTATTATATAATATCAGCATTTCTTAAACTATTATATATATGTGTGTGTATATATTATACATTTTGCTCAATGCACTGCGAATAATATATGCCCTCAACTTCAGCATTTTAAAGGACGAGATACATACTTGTTAGATTAATTATGGTAGAATAAACTTTAAAACACTAGAATTACCAGCTTGGGGCTATAGGTCATGACAAGAATGCAGCAACAACAATACAGAACACACTGAATAAAGTATACATAAACTTTGTCAAAATAGTACATGATATTTTATTAATAAATTTTGATAAAATTCTTTAATTAAAATAATTCTTTAATATTGCAATTACATTTAATATCAATGAATAGAAACTGCCTATGTGTTGGTAGCTGTATTATTTTCCGTCTTTTCTTGTGTTTTTCTGGGATGCTTCATCAATTCATCTTTTGGTTTCATGAGAGGAATGTACCACTGCAGTAAAATAAAAAATAAAGATATTTTGTGGTCATAGGTAAAAGTAAAACAACAATGATTCACAACATATATAATACTGTATATATATATGTATTTGCAATAAAGTGAGAGTATACTAATTAATGATGTAAATAGATACACTATAATACAGTACCAACAGATATGGTTCTATTTTTATGGTTTTTCTGATTTTCTTAAATGACTTTTATTCAAATGTATCAAGAGGCAGCCTTTCTAACAACTATATTTACTTAAAATTGGACCCTATAGAGTCTATAACATGCAAAATACATCAACTTTTCCACAGTACATTCCATTAACAAAGATTTGGAAAAATAAATCATAACAGCTTATTTCTTTGTACAGTATATATTATTATATCCATAAAGATGTTTTGTGGATTTTAGAAGAATGAAAATATTTCAACATTAAAGGGATGTACTGTAACAGCACATAGCATCAAACTTCTTTCAAACATTCAATCACTCACTTCTTTAGTCATTCCTGCTATCCTTCTTCCTTCAGCATTGAATGGCGGTTTGAGGTAACCTCTGTGTGAACAAAATACATACCTAAAGCTAATAAATTTACAATCATAAGAATGGAATTTAGCCCACAATGACAATATCTGATGGCCGACTATATGACCTAGATTTCCTTCAGTTTTTATGGCCAAATCATCTTTCCACAATTCTCATTTCATGGGTAAGTTTTAAATGCATAAAACCTTGCACAAATCATACTTAGAAGGCTGCATATACAGTCCATATTTGTGTAGTGCTAAAATATCCTGTTTCCATATACAGTATATAGAATATATATTATATATATACATATATACATATATAT